ATTATATTCCAGGGCGATTCTGATGGTGCTAACGTGTAGAGGCCTCCATCTTTATCTCCAAAGTCTCTATACAAAATGTTCATTTCTGATCAAAAACATAAATTTCTACACAAGTTTTTAATCTATTTCCTCATCGAAATGCTTGAGATTTCAACATTTAGTCTGATTCTACGCTCTCTGCATTTTTCGATAATATTGTCTGCGGCATGCGAAAATTTGCGTGACGTTCTCCACGAGTCAATATGGAGCTTCTTCTTACTGCAGAGCTTTTCTAACCGCTTTGCATTCATTTCCCATTCACTTTTTTGCAACATTTTGGCCAAATGAGATACAAACAGAATCTCTGCGTCAGCGAACATGCATATGCTTGCACGGACATCATTACTTTCATAGAGAAGACATGAATTAGTGGAGTTTCGCAGGGTCAAGAAACTATCTCATAAGTCCACCAACGCTACATAGTGCGTGCATCGTTTTTAGGCTGCGTTTGGCTCCTTTTTTCTAGTTTGAGAAACGTCAGTAGTCTAGCTTTGGATTCTTAGCGTGCAGGAAGACTGATAGGCAAATAGTTTGAGGAAATTCTCGAGCGGTTGTTCTAAACAGTCACTATGTATAATAGGAAGTAATTACAGACATTATATTCGACCAATTTCTGACTATTGAAAATGTTGTGTTGAAAACATGTTTCCTATCGTTTAATCGATCACAAGCAAGCGTCTAAAAATGAACTTCGGCCCTGAAACCTGAAATGTAACGCCCTCGATTGTTTTTCTTTCACTTTTATTGAAAATAAGATCATTCTCTACTCAAAGTGGACAATACAATTCTGCTACTCAGTCCTTTTTTTGAGTTATTTTTTTATATTTACTAGGAACTTGGTTTGGTTCGAGAAAAATTCCTTGAAAACTGCGATAAAATAAGACCCCTACTTTAATGCTGAAAATTCAATCTTCTCTTCTTCCTCATTTCATCGACGATAGCAGCGTTCAAGAGAAGTTTTCGAAACATTTGTCCGACTGTCATCTGAGGCCATACAGTGTATTGTTCATAGCCAAACATTTGTTAGTACAACGCTCAATCGAAGAGGTTGTCGATCGCCACGAGGGTAAAGACCACTGCGATCGACAGTAAAAGCCCGCTCACTTTTCTTCTTAACGGTCCATCGTAATCTCTTCTTTCCCGAGCTGAATGAAAGTTGCACTTAGAAAAATGTTCATGCCCACTAGCGTAGAATCCAATTCTAGTTGTGTAGGCCATTTCATTCTTCTTTGACTTCCGAACTGACTCTTCTATGTACCCTTCTCCCTCACTTCTGTGTTAAGGCTTTAAAATTTTCTCAAAACATTTCAGTTACATTGAAAGACTTTTTATTCTCTTCAATTCAAATGCGCTGTTTCTAATTCAGGAGTTTTCTGCATATGAAAGGAGATTCGGCCCTTTTTTCATTTTCTTATTTTTGTACGAGTCCATTCCATGTATTTAGTCTGGCATTTCGTGACAAATTTTATCTCTCACGAAAAAAAACTACTTAGATATTTCGATAACTAAACTGCACACAGAAATAGTTTCAAAATTGATGACCACGAAAGACTCTCCAGTAATAATCTAGAATCTTATCTTAGTCTGAGCTTTCGATTCGCGTCCGTCTGTAATCGGCCAACCTCTGACTCATTCGTCTTCGAGTGTAATACGTTGCACTGAAAAAGATAGAATTTACGTTTTCAATCATTCGACTTGGAATCGTCCACTATACAATAGATTTTATCAGGGAAATACAGGAAAATTACATCAGGGGAATTGCGAGATTTATTAGAAATACGCGTACTCTTGCACGGTTCCTTAATCAGTGCTCCGAAAGTCCTTAACTTCACAGTTAAAACCACATCTATGTTGACGTATGAGCAGAACTACGAACCTCAGATGAGCAGCTAATCCGCGATTACCCTTTTTGCCGCCTTACATGAACTTTAGGACAACCGAAGCCCTTTCTCTGCCGGTGCTAATGAGCAATCATCAGCGGGAATAATCTTACCCCACAAATCGCTATTCGAAGAGATAGACAGAAGTTGCAGTCGGAATCGCAACTTTTCAACTTTTATTTACTGCTGGTTCTTTTTCGCGGCCTCGGCTAGGTGTCGTGGGCAACACACGAGCCCGGAAGAAGATAATTGCGGGTTTAAAGCTCACATAAGGTTTCGGGCGCCGAGTTTTGCTCATATTTTCGCATTTTTACGATTGAATTCTACGGCGAACCCTGCTGTAAAAGCGAACAGGCAGAAAGTAATGCAACGTCATAATTTGACTACAGTATATTTAAAGAAATCCTACTTCTCCCTTGCTTTGTAAGAGAGGATCCTCTCGCTGACCTAACAGCAGGTGATTCTTCGCTAAAATGTTCTGAAAAATTTCTAGGACTTTTTAATCTCTGGGGAAAGATTAATGATCTTTCTCAATAACTTTATCAAAGAAGCCTTTTGAAGTCATGTGGCCGATTCTTCACTGCTTACCTCAACTAATTGGCTTCATTTTAAGATTTCTCGGATTACTTAGTTGAGATACGAAACTATCGTTCACTATGATTCATTTCTATCCCGCGAACATCTCGCAAAAAACATTGCTGTCAAATGGCAGACACGAGAGCGGTTACTTAGACGAGCGACCAGACCTGACCTGTTGTCGTCACAGCATTGTGTTTCATTACAACAACACTCGGCCCAGACGTATCTATCAAACTGCGCAGAAGGCTCTCAAACCCCGTAGATGGCCCATTTTTATAGGTTTTTTCCCAATCGCTCGTCGTTCTCGCAGTATCGGATTATTTTCTCATGCAGTCGTCACAAAGTTTTTTCAACTGTCTCTTCGATATCGCTTCTCTCGTTAGTTGGAAAAGTCTTCTTGGTACTTCTTGTAATAAATCTCAAGATCGGCTATCCATCGGCCTCGGCATGCTGCATAGTTCCTTATTTCCTTCTGAAGCCAAACACGAGGTATTTTAGCACAATTTCATCAAATAGTTGACGTTTTGGCAGTTTCGTCTCCTATAGAGCCTAGAAAGACCAAGCTGTCCACAATCCAGTCGGCCAAACACCTCCATAACTTCTTTAGAAAGAAACACCGGACCAGATTTCAATTGTATCAAGAACAAAATCAACTTTCAACATACTTTTAGTTTTTACAAGTCTTCCACTGAATTATTCAAGTGGAGACCACTAGCCAGAAATCACATGAACTCGTAATGTACTTCCCAAATCAAAACAACGGTCCTATGGACTGACTCATATCACGAATTATCCTCGATATCCCCAGAGATGTAGAGTGATGTGCAAAACTGCGTTAGCCGAAACTCCAACCCGCATCTCACTCTATCCAGGAGCGTGTGCTCTAGGATGCCGGTTCCAGTCCCGCTTGACGCAAAAGTTTTGCAGATCACTCTACATCACTAAGAATATGTATAACATCATGCCACCGCTAAAAGCGGTTATTCTAGTTGACTATCTTCGATATCGTTTTTTATCTGCTCCATGAAACCAGGGAATAAAGCTCTCGATCAATCCCTGAGGTGTATGCTATGCACTGGATTCTATTCGTAGTATTGTAAAGGAAAATTATGACTTACGAATGGGCTAGCGATGCATCAAATCGGTCCTGTTATCCTAGCAGACTTACTAGGCCTACTAGAGTTACCAGATTTGATATCAATCATTAGATCCTAGAGAGATAGAAGGCCTAGTGAGACTTTGGAATACAGAGTGTCGGGATTCCAGATTCGAGTTGTTACTCTCTAAATCTTCTGCTTTTCACTACCAACCACTTTTCGTCTGTCCATTTCTTCCAATTAATCTCTTAGAAAAAAAATCCCTTCTCACTAATGAGGCTTCTTACCTTTTCCATAGCGGTATGGCAAATGGTTGACATTTTTGTTAACTGGGCATAAACATCGCCTCTAATTGGGCCTCCCCTCCAACAGCTGAAGGTCATGAGCAGGGGAACGAACGATCATGCTGCACACTATAATGTCCTCTCAGCCAGCCAGCCAGTCAGTCATTGACGCCGCAACCGCATTTCTCTCTTGATTCCTGGACCGGTTCGTGTTATCGATCAAATCCATTTCACTTTCTTGCCACAATTGGTCTTATCAGATGATGTTCCACCGCCATATATTATATCGCAGACTGACCTTAGGAACCATTTTCTCCTGATTCCTCGCCTTAATACTTCACCCCAAAATGAACCAAAAAATAGTGTTAGAATCAATCGATGTTGCCCTTCCGGATCCGAGGTCTTTACGATCATAGTAGGATAGGCAGTGTTTACATTGAGACAAGACAACTGGGGAGACCATTGGCCACCACGGGGGGCATTGCGACCACTAGGGGACCATTGGAGACCACGGATGGACCATTGGGGACCGGTGTAGGGTCCATTAGGGACCACTGAGGGGACCATTAGGTTCCAGTGGAGGGACCATTAGAAACAACTGGGGAGACCACTAGGGACCACTGGGGAGACCATTAGGTCCCACGGGGGGATCAGTAGGGAGCACTTGGGGGATCATTGGGAGCACTGTGGGGTGACCATTAGAGACCACTAGGCGGACCACCGGTCACCACTGGGGGTCACTGGGACCATCAGTGCTTCCGGTGGCTCAATGTGCGCTAGCAGGCTTGAATTGGCGTTATTTCAGTGAACGCGCTTTCACTTGAATAATTTATCAACCCTCAGCTTGGTTCCGTTAACAGTCGCTTGTCGATGACGTCCTCATTTCTGCTCTGCTTATTGATTTTCGATCAATAACTAATCGATAACGGCCGAGTTCTACGTAGTATTGATCGCGTTCTTGCATTTAAATGCTCACTCCTTCAATTATTCATCAATTTTCCTGTCATGAAAGTGATTTCGAATTTTTGTAGCAAAAATCCTTTTCATTTTAGCGATTTTCTAGCAATACTGGATGTCATAAGTGTATATTTCAATATCGTGGAGTAGTGTATAAGACTCGAAAACCTCAGGCGAGAGTTGAACTCACGTCTCATCCTGTTGGGGAGTGCGCGCTAACCACTGCGACATCGTGTTACTGCTCAATTCTCGCGAATAATATCAGCGTGATAGATGTGCGCTTTATGGTTGACCGTAGTGTTCATTTCATTGCAGAAATCGATCGATTAATCTGAAAGTTTTGCTCCTACTTGTTATTGGTTCGTTTGATCTACATCAAAAAGGAGCGACTCTCAATGAGTATCTCATCATGATACATAAAAATTATCATATGAAATGTCCTTTTTTGCGTAAACCTGTTATCGGCTGCCTTTGCAGTCTCCCTCATCTGCGAAATATCTCGCTTTTTATTTGCACTTTCATTGCGATGAACCAGCAGAAAAGCCTCATCAAGGAGATTTATAGCTCCTGAAAAGCTTAATCAATTCTGAGACGTCTAGAGGTGGATTTCCATGGATTTACAGAGAACACGATTTAGAGCTTTATCTCTCAAACTGACCATTCGACTTTAATGGAGATTAGAGGCCCCGTCAATATCTTAAGTCCAAGCCTAAGCCTAAGCCTAGGCCTAAGCCTAAACTTAGGCGTACTCTCATAAGTTCTTATTGAAAAAATCAATCGAAAAATTTATCAAAAAGTCATATGACCAAAACTCTTCACAAGGGCCCGACCTTTTTTCTATGAAGCTCCGGCGAAATTGAGATAATTTCTTCTGGATCGATGGCAAACGTTTCGGCGATTTCGCCATCCTCCGAGCCGGTAAATTAAACCGCAGGGTGCACATGCTTGTTCGTTCTTTATTTGGATTTAAACCTCTTTTATCTCTGAATTTTTGAAGTACTTATATGAGAGAGATCGCCGGTGTTTTGTCGCACGATTGTGAAGAAATCTTTACTTTTCCGGGAAAAAAAATCTTTTAATTTTCCACATTGTATGTGACAGCACATCGGTGACCTCTCCCACATGATTACCCTAAAATTCCACTGATAAGAGCGGTTTAATTTTTACAAAAAACGAACGGACAGACGCGCGTCTTTCGATAATGAAATGATTTCTTTAGGAATAAGAATAAGTGAAAATTATCAAGAATCACAAGAATTACTACCTAGTACTATTTTCCAGAACAGAGCGCTTTTTTTATGTAATTTTAGGATAGTTATAGCGGCTCTGAGAAAGGCGAAATTGCTGAAACGTTAGCCATCGATTTCGAAGAAGATGTGGCAGCCTCGCACGAGCTCTTTATATAAAAAAGGCAGTTTGTGAGATAATGTACTACATCGTCGTTCTCTGTAAATCTATAGAAACTCTGTATCATGCGTCTTTGGATTGATAAAAGCCTATCACGAGCTACAGATCGCCTCATTAGTCCTTTTGTCTTGATTGATGGGAATAAAAGTGCAGATAGAAAGATAGATTTTGCAGATGAGAAAATCGCAAAAAGCAGTTAATGAGTGGTTTTCGAGATCGACTCGAATTCTTTCGTCTATGACTCAGCAGTGTTTTATATGCATTAAATACGTCGTTCATAAACACGCAAATCGAATCTCAAATGAGGAGTTTATATGTAGGGAAATTTCTTTTTTCTTCGTCTCTATCCTCTCTTCTCTTCTCATCGCTTCTCTCGTTTCCTTTTCACTTTCTTCTTGAGATTTTAGTTCACTTTATTTGTATTTTTATTCTTTCATGGAATTCCGCTTCAAAATCACCGGTCCTTAAAATATTGGGACACCTCTGACCACTGCAGTACTTCACACACACACGCAAGCGGAACAAATGGACTTGGGCTTGGATGGCCCATCTTCACCGATAGTGCGAGCCTCAGTAAAGAGAAACTGAGCTGGTTTAGGTGTTTTGTTCCCTGGAGTCTTGAGGTATGCCTAGATGGGGCTTCTTCAAGTTGCCATCACATTAGAGCACTCACTCGCCGGACCTTATAGGTTAGAGGGAGATGGATTATCGTCTTGCGACTAGAAGCCAGCAACACGGCGGTCATTCCTGGCAGGGTTTACTCTTAGCTGAGCTTTTCGGGTGGATACGTCGGACGCATGATTGCATGCATGGTTCGAAATTGTAAATGAAATATAGTATCACGATTGAAAGGAATTTGAAACTACATAAAAGGAACCATCTACTTTTATTCCTATAGAAATAACTGTTTCCTAAACTGGTTTTTCGCAACTTTCTACAGTATCATATAAATCAAGTATGGTAACTGGATTGAGAGGAAAATAGAACTACCAAAAAAGAACCATCTACTTTATGCTTTAGTTATAAATCTACTTTTATAAGTTCATTTTAAATTAGTTTTTTACTGCAACTTCTTTACGTATCAGGAATCTAGATTCATATCTAGATTGTGAAACTACCCAAAAAAGAGCCATTTACTTTTATTGCTATGGAAAACCAAATATGTCTACTTACACTTTACTGCAACTTTCTGCACTGTCACGAATGCAGTCACCTGCAGTTCGACCTAGCTCTTCGGTGATTTTTACGAAACGTGCTTGAAAATGATTGTTCACAGCCCAGATTTGATCACAGTATCTTTGAATGGAATGCTTGTAGCACAGTGGTTAGAGGCGCTTCGAAACACACAAATGGTCGTCAGTTCGATCTCACATCCTAGGCCCATCAAGCCTTTTGTGCTTCCGAAGTCGTGCGTATCGATACCAATCTTGTCTGGGAGGCTAGCAGTACTGACTTGCCACATTGAAAGGCTACTACAAGTTCATTATGAAGCCAGACATACATACTATTACTTCTAACGAAGCTTAATGAGATCCAATATATGGCGCATCTCTGGGGGATTGATGAACGCCCAGAGCTTCATCCTCATCGTTAACCACTGCCTAAGCCAACAGTATTGACATGTCGCCATTTTGGTGGTCATCTCCTTTACATAAAGCGATTGCGGTGGTGGTTGCGTAAAGACAGATGCGATCGAATTTCCGTCACGAGACGGTGTTCCGCGGACAATCCAGTTGATATCGTTATTTCTTAATTGTGTAATTGAGGCTTATTCAGTAATTAGCAACTCTTGGCTGGGACGAAAGGAGAAAAGCACTAAAGAAGTATGGAATATGTTCTCAATCGACTTTATGTAGTTGTAGTTTTCGTTTGAATCGCTGTAAGCTATAAATTCATTATTTACACCTTATGTGTTTGCATTTTCCTTAGCAGATTTAGCTACTCTGCTGATTGTTAGCACGCCCACTGACCTTACAAAAAAACTGAAGAAAAAGTAGATTAAAACTGATCATGTTGAAATTATACTCTGTAGACAAGAGGCGAAAAGAACGTCATGGCAAAATGATAGTAAATTATGCTGATGTCATTCTTTTAGATAATTATACCGCCACAAAACGTCTACTTCTGGTTTTGTGGATGGATTATTTTCCGCTATTTGAACTTTCAAGTATATAGAGCCGGACTGATTTTTTCAGTGGAATTCGCGTTTTCCTCTTATCTAAGGGCATTGTACAAATTTTATCGCAAACGTCTGTTCAACCTTTGTTCTTTTATTGCTGCACTTTCTTCCGTCATCGCACGTTCCAACAACTTATTCTCAAATACCTTTCAATCGATTATTCTGGAACCTCGCTTCAAAATTCAGCATGGTGTGATGGAAGATTTTGAGCCTTTCCTGAGGTCTGTTATGCCACTTCTACCACCAGACGTACGTGTCGGTTTTCTAGCAAACTCATCACCAGCATAGCATATGCCATTCGGCTATTCGCCTCTTCCCCCCACCCCCTATTATAGGGAATCGACCCCAACAAGCTCTGGTAGAACGTCGTGTTTGGTGATCTTTTCACCTTGCACAGAGTGTAACTTGTTCGGTGTCGATTCTCTATAATGGGAGGCGAGTAGCCGATCGGCATGTGCTACTGATGTGGCTTGCTAGAAGGCCGAAACGTACGTCTTATACAAGAAGTGCCATAACAGAATTCATGAAAGGCGTAAAACATGCCATCAGACTATTCTCAAATATTGTTCCATATGCTGTTACATATAAACATACTTATGTACATTGCCATATATATATAGTATATATATTGTATATATACGTGTGTATATATAGTAATATATATATATATGTATATACATGGTTCTTTTCGTTTATCCGGCGACAAACGATATTTTTCATTCGCTGGACAAGAATTTTTCACAATAGTGTTAGTGACCTTCCGAAAGTTCAAATCTCTGGCTAGCGCCCTACGTGGGCTGTTCTTTTATGAAACTCTTTTCTATAGCGTGCGGAATAAAATTATGTTTCACACCCATCACGTACTTTGTTTTTATCTCACTTATGGTCGCTGGCCAATCTTCTTCCTCAAGCTGCTAATAGACATATCATTAGGCAACTGGCTGGTGTGAAACATAATTTTATCTTGTATGCCACGGCGTTATGAAATGGTTTATTTGAAAAAGAGCTACGGAGCTTCAAGGTCAGAGATTCAAGCTTTCAAATGTTTACTAAAACTTCTATAGAAAATTTTGTCCAGCGAGTGAGGTCGAATATTCATTTGTCCCTCTATAACCCAAAAAAACCTACATATGTACATATATACATATATATGTATATATATGTATATATGTATATATGTATGTATGTATGTATGTATGTATGTATATACATGGAACATATAAATAGTCTGTTGGCCTCATCCGTCTGTATTTGTCTGCTTTGTTGACCTGTTGTTAATCGGTCAGGTTTTGTTTGCTGCCCATTACGATGGTGACTATGCTGTCTTTGTTACAGTCGACTTTCTTCTTGTCTATGAAGAATACGGTGTATTCAAGGCTCAAGCAGTCACGATTTCATATGCAGACCTGCTTTTCATGAAATGATTTCACTCTGCTAAGAATTGTGAAAGATGTTTAGTGTTGTCGAACATCTTCATATACCGCTTGAAATAACTCTTATCATCGAGTTTGCTATTGTAGATCGTACAGTCATTGGATATGATGAGCGATTTACAGATTCGTCATTGAAGCTCCGATCCTGGTCTTCGTACCAATTTGACAGCAACTTTTTCAGTTCTAATGACGGCGTCGAAAAACCTATTTTGATTACA